TGATGGTCCAAATACAGAAAAGAATAAGTGTCGCCGTATATGACTTTTCTGGTGTGTAATTATTTCATCGTAACGCATGCACTGCGACAACAGTGTAACGGCAGGACACAAGTGCATTTGGCGACAAAATAATTCATTAACAAAATACGTCTATAATATACTGGAATCAAATTTTAATAATAATAATAATAACAGCTTTATTCCAAACAGTATTTTTGGTACAGGTATGGAATTTTCAGCATGCATTACAGTATATTGCATCTAGTTACCTCATAAATTATATAAGATTTTTAAAAAATCAGAGATAAATAAATAAAAAATAAAATAAATAAGTTATAAATAAATAAAATAAATAAATATTAAAAATTACGAAAAAAACAGCGTAGAGTATTTCATTTGCATATATCTTCACTATTGTACCAGTTTTGTCTTTCATATTGTACTTCTTTGTCTCTCTTTCACATTTCCCTGTTGTTTCCCAAGCGCAGGTCATTTCTTCACTTCGCCATTAAATCCGTTTCCGCCATTAGACACTTTTGAAGATGATATAGATATTTACGCCTGAATCTACATACTAATACATGTTGTTAGTACCACAAGGCACAATGGAAATTTTCTTTTCCCATCTGCCATGTTTTGAGAATGGTCAGCTAATTTTAGGTGGAAACATACTTTGTTACTGGGATCAACAATTCATTTGTTAAAACTTATTTCCGTTGCCTAGATCAGTGCGAATACATGATATGTTTACACACCGAATAATCGTATTATGTAATTTCAGTTATTATTTCAGTCAACATATAAAACACGTGCTGATGGGATGGTCACGTACTTTTCAATGGACCAGATTACGAACTCATCGAAGCATAAAATCCGTAGCTGTTGCTACTGGTAGAATACTACATAACAAACAACTCGGATTCAGCACAAGTAGTATCAAAAACCACCAGGATTATTATTGCTCAGCTAACAATAGACCGATATCCAATTCCTTTCTTACAGCCTTGTTTAAACACTTTCGTTCCTTGGCATCCACTGGCTGTTGTTTTGTTGCGGCTCTAGCTCTTCGGTAGATAAATGCCCTCGACTGTTACAGTTCCTTTTTCGGAAAGAACCTATGGTAATTACAAGGAAAGTAGTGTTTCCAAGTGTTGTGGTGCTTTATCTCACCAAACTAGCGTACACATTTATCCTAGTACTTCTTCGTGATTATTAATGTGTCCTAACGTTGTGTTTGCTCGACATCCACAATGTAAATCAAAAGGCACTTGAGAAGGAGTACGAACGTGTATTAACGCAGTGATCAAAATTCAAAAGTTGAGCGAGTACAAATGTATCAATTGATAACACGCATTCTTTAGAGTGATAAACAAATCAAAGTCCAATTACATAGTGAAAGTATACTACAATGATGAGTAATAAAATGCGTCACTTCACAAGACACGTCATTTCTGCTTGGCCAAACATTTAGTTGGACAAACACTTTGGCAAAAGCTATGCTAAGAGAATGGAAAGTAAGCAAAATGAATGGGTAATCTCAACAACACAGCTAGCATTGACTTCGGGCACACTGCAGAATGTTTGGGTCAAAATTCAGCTAAATTTTTCACGTTCTGCAGTGAGCCCGAAGAAAATGCTAGCTGGGTGGGCGAAACATATGAGATATATAATGTACTGGTACATCTAAGGTGCACTATAGGTGATTTCGGCCATAACATTATAGTACATTCACGTTTTCACATTCCACGATGTGTTAACGTTGTATACGGATAAAGGTGAACAGCGTTGTATTGAGAAGCGCAAGTGAAAACTTGAAAAGATGAATTGTTAACGGGTGAGGATATACGTGGGTTCGTGTTATATTTTCCGCGGCTCAGTTTTTTTCGTCTTTCATTGGCTAGAATGGTGGCGGTCAATTGCAGTTTGAATTGTCCTTGGGTGCGTGCTGTCGGGTGCTGTCTTTGCGTGGTTGTGTTTGCGTCGTTTGCCAGCATATGTGATTGCTATAAACGTGAATTAGACTATTGTAACGCTTTGTTTTTCTTTGTTTGTGCATGTACTAGGCTTTACTTGTCGTACAATTCGTTGTTTGGTCTGTCGGTTGCTTGCGATGTCAACGAACCGGTGGGTTCTTGTGTTTTTCTGTAATTTAGGTTATACGTGCGGTATTTTCTTGATGGTTATCGATCATCCCTGTATTTCAATGTTGTTTTTTTACGATTTATCTTGGAATAGTTGTGACATAGATGGATCCTAATTGATAATTTTATTTTAGTCCGTTGCAGGTAGTCAATTCGAGTGACAGGAGCACAGATTTAAGTGGAATTTTTGCTGAATACATACTTGGAAAGCGTTTCTTCAGCTGGGATGAATTTGAGAAGTCATTAGCAGAATTTCAAAAAGTGAGGAAGTCATTTAATGCTAACAATGTAGTTATCCTGCACTCACTATGTTCATAATTGCAGCAAAACGATACCGGATGACAGGTTTAAGTACGCTTATGTTGGTTTTAAATGCACTTTTGGAGTGAATCGTACAAGACCTGGATTGAAATTGAAAAACAAGTCGTAAGAAGAAGTGTAATATGATTTCATGAATACTTCAGGTCTAAATGTTGCAATTGCTCGTCTTCATTTCGCGTGGTTTTGCATTATAGTGAATACATAATTGCTTCCCACAATATGGTGCATAACCATCCATGCAGCAGGGTGTACATGCAGAATGACCCATGGTATAGACGACTAACAGTTGAAGAGAAAGAAAATATTGAACCACTTCTTCAGCAATCCCACTCATCCGATGAAATAATAATGCATGTTAAGGAGAAGTACCACAAGGATATAACTCGCATTGACGTTAAAAATATGAAAGCCGCAGTGAATAAAGGTAACGTTGACGTACTTGTTACATACTTAAGGTATTTCGAGTCGTCGTGACATTTTTGAATTCCTAAAATCCCGTGGGAAGTTAATGGAGTATTATTCCGATGAACCGATCAGGAATTCACTAACAAGAATTTGTTTTGCAACTTATGAGCAAATGGAATTGTATAAACAGTTCCCTGAAGTTGTTGGTATCGACTCGACGTATAATACAAATAAGGGGAAGTAAGTTTACCAATTCATTAACCAACGTGCAGGTATTCTTTGTTCCAATTACTTGTGACGGATAATTTTGGTCGTGGACGACCAGTTTTATTTGCGTGGACTAGAAAAGAATTCAAACGAGATGTAGTTTGGATATTAGACTGTTTCCGGCAAATAATGGAAGACACCTCCAAAACAGAATCCTTCATTATGGATTGTGCGCAAGCTGAAATAGCAGCCGTCAAGTTAACGCACAGACAAGCGCACATTGTTTTGTGTTCTTTCCATGTTTGCCGAGCTTTCTGTCGTAAAGTAAGTTTTTCGAAGCATACTTTACATTTTATTCGTAGACAAGAAATCCCATTGTGAAGAATTATTTATGCCGTCTAGTGCAGTGTAAAAGGAGATCAGAGTAATGCCTCTATTGTTCTCATTTTGCAGATTTAATTTCTACTTCAGAGTTATTAGCAGATTGGATGCTAATGTCAGTCAATATCTACAACGTCGTTGGATGCATCGACGAGAATTGTGGGCAGCATGTTTCAGAGACAACGTGCTGACTTTTGGGAATGATACAAATAATCGCGTCGAGAGTTCCCACAAGCAAATGAAACGGTACTTGCAAAGATCTGATAGTCTGCATAAAAGTATGCTAAAGGTGTATAAATGGTATAAACGAAGTTTTTCAATAATACAACAGGAGGCGAATATTGCTCAGTCACGATGCTTCACGTATCTCTGTTCACAACGTCTAATCCCAATTATACGATTGCTGACGCCATACGCCGCGAGGAAGGTAATACGTGAATACCAATGGCGACGATGGGCTATTGTTGATTTTGAATCCTTTGATTATGTATTCTTCAAAGAAGATGGGAATACAGTGGACGTTTTCCATGAAAATACAGCTTTGTTCAAACACTGGTGTTGTTGTGTTTCTAATAAAAGCAAATAGACTGTAAGCAAGCAACTAATAGGCACAAAGAGTAAGTCTCAGCTTTAATAAAGGCATATCCAGTTAACATAAAATGAAGTGTAATAGTGCACAAATGAAAAGACCACAGTGAAGTAGATAAGTGATATTTCAGTGAGAGGTAAATTGAAAGATCTGCAACCTTACAATTTGGAAGACAACCTGACATGTAAGATCTCTCACAAATTTCTATAGGGCCTGTGGGGTACCATGGATGGTTTAGCGTCAATCGCAGCTTTGAAAGGATGACTTACAAATGCAAAAGGCAACAACCAACGAAACTGCAGTAGTATTTTCTAGCTGTTCAGCATTTTTTCCTTTGATGCAGTTTCTTATCAACAGTTTGCAGTATTCAGAACATCACAAGTTGCTTACAGATAACTTGTTTAATAATAACTGCTTTAAGTATATCAGCCATAAGTGCATCTTCTACGTCTTTCATAGCCACAATTAAGTCATTAAGGATCTCAGATTATCTTAGTGATGTGAAGCAAAATAATTTTTAAGATTGATATAACCTATGTAACAGGTGTAGTAGTTGTATGACACAGCCACTAGCTACTAATCGACAGAAATCTGGTACTAATTTTAAGTACTCTGACATTTGAGAAGGACTATTTATACTATTCTTCCAGACACAATGAACACTGATGTCAATATACTCTGATGCCATTTCATGCACTGAGCAATTAAGGCCTTGTGAAATTCTATGTGCAAATGTCAATTAAACTATTTTTACATCTTCGCCCAAGCACTTTTAACTAGGAACTTCATCAAAATAGATATAATCACCAAGAAATTCAGCAGCCTATCTCATTCATCGCATAATGTCGTCGATGTTTTATGAGTTATCCATTGTCATCCCGGATGATAACAGAAAAGTTTAACATGTTCAAAGCACACATCTAACCTATGTCTGCATGCTATTTCGCTTTCATAGGCCAGATTCTCATAGATTCACTGGAATGACAACAGCCATTGCCTGCAGTATATTTACAACCTTAATTCTGAAACAGCTCGCAAAAAAAAACCTCAACGCACTATAATGCAAATAATAGTCTTTCTATGCGAACTCTCTTAAAAAGGATTACTTCCTCATTGATAATTCCCCAGCTAGCATTTTTTTCGGGCGCATTGCAGACTTTTTGGGGCAAACTTTGGGCAAATTGCAGACTTTTTGGGGCAAACTTAGGGCACATTGCAGATTCCGATGAACACTTAGGGCGCATTGCAGACTTTTCGGAACAACCTGATGAACGGTTATTGGCTACAAAACAACCAATGGGAGTAACCCTGATGTACTTCCTCAACCAATGACAGTTAACTTTTTAAAACTGCGTTACAATGAATCTGAATTAGTGATTAGTAATACATAATTTAAAATAATAAACTCTTTTTATATAAACAATCAATTAAATGTACTTTCACTATCTGAATACATCACAAAAGGCTCCTACCTGAGAAATGTTTTACTGCACTGAAATCCTTCGAAGCGGCGGAATCCACCATTTTCATTTCCTTTGTTGTGAGTTGGCGTGTTTGTCACCCTTCTTTTTAACGAAGTTTTCCAAGTAATTAATTGCGTAGTGAGACGTTTTATATTGCGACTTTAACAGTAGCGGCCATTTTTATTATTAGGCATAGCGTATTAGTTGTGTAGACTGCAGGAATCCGTTTTTTAACCGTTTTTCCAATTTCTTCCAGGTAACATGAGCTCTCACATTTCCCCGTCAAGTATCAATAATACGCCAAATGACAGCAGACCACCAGCTAATGTCGAACCATACCGCCGGAAGAATTCTAGACTACGTAAGTTTATTAATCAATCTTCTTTAACGATGCAGCGGTAGTCAATTTTGACTTAAGACGATATAGGTCAACATACTACCGGCGTCTAAAAAAGTACAATCTGGATTGGAAGAAGCGTGTAGAAGGTAAGCTTGTCCTTTCATAATAATGTACACAGAATCATATGCGAAAATTCTTGCAAGTGAACCCCAACCTGAAACAATAGCAGGAAACATGGTTACTCCCCAACAAATTATCGTTCCAGTTGATGTTCCTCGTAATAGCATGTCACCTACACCGTCATTTGATGACCATTTACCGAATGAACAACTGTCTGCAACAGAGGAAGTTGACCAAACTGAGTGCACTCCAGTGGATTCTGTTCGCAACGTCGTCTACAGATGCAAGCTGAATATGACTACTACTCGTATTTTGCTGGAAGAATTAAGACCACATCATCCTGAACTGCCGACTGACCCTCGGATATTGATGAGGACTAAAGACTTTTTTGAAAGGAGAGCAGTTGGTTCTGGAATATATGTTCACATTGGTCTTCGTCGTCAGATTTTATCTCGGTTACAAATTGTCAAATGTAAACTCTCTGTGCCAATTGCTCTTCAGCTGAACATTGATGGTGCCCCAATTTTCAACAACTCCAAATTACAGATGTGGCCAATACAAGGAAAGTTACTTTTTTCGGGCTGTGACAAGGTATTCTTGGTAGGAGTCTACTGTGGTTCGTGTAAACCTTTAAGTATACACAGTTTTTTGAGGGACACTATCATCGAATTAGAAAACATTTGTGCCAATGGTGTTACATTACACAACAATCATCGCATGGACATTGTACTTAAGGCCGTCATCTGTGATACACCAGCAAGAGCACTAGTTAAGCAAATAAGTGGTCACAATTCAACACAAGGATGCGATAAATGTGAGGCTTTATGCTGTCGTGCTAATCGTCGCATGGTTTTTCCTACTACATGTGCTGCTTTAAGAACAGACATGTCTTTTCGCAACCAAACTTTGCCATGTCACCATAAAGGTAAATCTCCTTTCGAGAGATTGCATGTAGACATGATCACAACTTTCCCTATAGATAGCATGCATCTCATATACTTAGGTGTAGTTCGAAAGTTGATTGAATATTGTATATTATAGCTCGGACGATCGTCCGAGCTATAATATACAATTTTACGCTCTACTAAGAACAAAATACAGCAAAATACTGCCATCCGGCTACAGAAGTCTAAAAATAGTCAAATATAATCTATTTCCAAAAAAATAGGTGATTATAACGTCTGTTGACGTGAGCGCGGTAACCGATGGCATTGCGCGATAACACCTGGTGTCGGCCTATATCCTCACACATTGTTAAGGCAATGGATAAAGGCACACACGACCTTATGGAGAGGCTGAGCACTTCAAGGTCACATATGCATACTGTGATTGGTAGATTTTACTTTGCGTAAACGCTGCGGCTAATACGTAGCTCACGTTACTAAGGCGGACTTTGAAAGGATAGTAATAAAAGTCGCATAAAGATTACACTTTTTCAGCTTAAGGACACAAGTTAACGCATGTATTGATTTTACAGATGTGATATACATGTGGACCCACTAAAAAAGAGAATATTATTGGGTAACTTAATCAAAGAAGTATAAAGTTTGAAGATTTAGTCTTTTTCAGTTGATTGTAACGGACAGAGAGGAGAGGCATTTGTGTAACATTTGCATTTCGCAGAAAACAAACTGTGAAAGATAAACTGGAAGTTCTAGGATTCTTAAAGTTTATTATGGGATATATGGACTGTTCATACCGATTCTACTATTGTTCCCTCCCTTGTTCACATATTCATTGTTGCTAAGATTAGGGATTGTTCACCTGAAGTAAGATTAATTCATCTGATATGTATATATCCTTAGATATTTCTCAGTGTGGCCGGAGGTGGTCAAAGGAATACAATCTCAATCTTTGCATGGAAAGGTCATAACCAGTTTCTTCTGAAGGATCAGGTGGTGCTGAAAGCTGTAAAGACTGGTCCAGTGTCACAATCATCTAAGGGAAACTGATCCACATATTGTGGATAAAACGATTAGTGGACTTTAATTTGACAATCATGTACCCATAAAGAATCTACAACTGTGATTTTTTTCCACCCTTTTTAATATGAATATGTACTGTTTAACTGTTTTTATTTTGTAAATATATGCATTTATGTTGACTACATGTATCTCTCTTAATTATCATTCCGAGGACATTGCTTAGTTAACGAAGTTGATAGGCAACGTAGTAATACTTGTGTGAAATGCGTGATAATCGTAAACCGTTATTATTTCCTCAGTGCGTCATCAAGCCTCCCATGAAATGTTTCAGTTACACTCAATACGGCTGCGTAAAAGATTATCTTTCATCAGGGCTTGCGAAAAAATGTACGTTGAGCTTAGGTTTGTTTTGCGATTACTACGTATACATAATAACAAATGTAAGGCGGCTACGTACATCGAAAATAACGCGTTATAGGTATATCCTATTGAAGAAAATCCTAGTATTCTTATGTTGCGTAAATTATCACTCTTTCAGATTAAATCACTACGCATTCCAAAACCGGCTACATCACTATTCCTTCGACAAGCAAAAGGGAAGTAGTAGTGAATTCTTTAAAGAACACCGTTAAAACATTAAAAAGATATTTATTTTGATAAATAATTTTATCATATCACAAAGATTCCAACGATAACGCGCAAATTCTTCAATTGCACTTCATTAAAGCCTCCAAATAAAGTGAATCACTCCGTAAATTACAATTGTAACCTGCAAATCAACAATAGTATGACATCCTTTAACAAATAATTAGCAACACGAAAATACTCCAAACCAAAGAAACTATTTAAAAAAATTTGTTTATTAACTGTTATCTTGCGAATAAATCAACTAACACTCCTTTGTAGCTGTAGACTCTTCTGAGTGTTACCAAGTTTTCATATCTCAGAGATTCAAAACACCCTTTCAGAATTTCGCAAAATATGCATCAATTTCCTAATTGATTTCGTTTTCCTTAACGTGAACAACAATTTACACAGAGTTTTAACATTCCACATGGAAAGAAATAACGAAATTCAATGACAGATACATGTTCACTCAAACTGCTGAAAGTGTCTACTTTCCACCATTTTTCTAAATTTTTTCGTTAAAATATGGTATTTATAATGTATTTCAGTTGAAAAAACACCGGAAAACAACGTAGAACAACCCGAATACAACATCGCGATAACACATAACGACACCCCGTGTGTGCATTTATCCATTGCCCATTGTTAACAAAATAGAATTTCGAAAAACGTGAAAACGAACGAAATGTGTACAACTGCATTAAAATACAGTTAGGCTAAAACATGGGTGCTGCGCCTCCTCTCCCTTGAACTGTTTCCCTTACGGATGTACGTACACATTTTTTTTTGAGCAGTAGTCTAGCCTCCTCTTGAAGCTATCAGTTGATATAGAGAGAGGATCGTGCAAGATGTCAGTGAGTGTGGTGAGTGTCAAACCCCAAGGGAAAAGAAATCAGACCACACATTCGTTCTGCCTTGTGATGAGAGATTCTGAGTTACCCTAAAGGGAGCTTTAGTGACCTCGTAGTAGTTATACATAAATATACTCATATATTTCTTCGAGTTGTTTGATTTTTGCAACATTTTGTATGCCATAATTAATCGGCCACCATAATTTTCATATACCACCATTGCATAAATGGCAATTCAGCCCAGAGAAAATTCCAGGAGCCCTCCTTTTTATGTCCTATGAGGAATTTATGTCTCGTTTAAGGAGTGATGATGAGGTCACGTTATTTACTCTCAAATACGACCAAACACATGTTTTCTCCAAATACATGCAAAGCCCAAGCGTAAGTAGGCCTAGCTGAATGCACATGGAGTAAAACGCCTTAGTGGTCTTCTGTGCGTCCCCTGCTTAGTCTTTGCTTGTGTTCAGTTACTATATCAGTAGTAGGTCGGGACCACACTTTCTATGTATAGGTAATATCGGTTCCGCATAGGCGGTTGGAGATTCTTTGTTCTACTGGTGTTCTGATGAACATTAACTGATATCCTTTAACGTTGAGAGTTGATTCTTTCTCTGTGGCCTAATTCTGCAGCCTGATCAGGTCTTTCTACAACTTAGTAAGTCCTTCCTAGCCAATAAGTTCTTCGTCAGTCTAATGTCTTCTATATAAAGGAATTTCAGGCAGGTTAGTGTGTTTGGTAAACTACTGATAAAACTTTTGAGTGGTAATAGACCGAAAATCGCTCCTTGTGGTTCCTTTGTGATATCACGTGGCGTACTTTGTTCAACTTCATGTATAATTTGCTGCTTTCTATTTAGACTCAATTACAAGGCTTGATGAAGTGCCTATTTGTATTTTGAGACTTCACAGAGTTGAGCTTTACAAGACGCTGAGTAGGAGGCTTTAGTGGGGTCCAGAAAGATTTAGGTTGAAATACTGTCTTTCCCATTTGGTATCTAGCTTTTAAAGTTTCCGGCTAGTTGTTAGTGGAAGACTGCACTTTCTTAGGGCTGTGGTGGGCTTATTAGAGGATGGTGTTTTCTCGTATAATCATCCAGTGGACTTTTCGTCGCTTTAAATACTGTTGGTGGAGACTTCTCTCGGGACGGATCTTTACAGGTTCCTTCAGGACCACAAACGGAGTTATTTGTGGTGGTATAATCCCTAAGATATCCGGTCGCGCCTTATGTTGCCAAGAAATACCTATGTTCAGTTAAGAATCTTTCTTCATGCAGGTGACTGGTGTCTATTTTATGTCAACAGGAAACTATAATATCGTGGTTATTTAACAGTATTTAACGATAAGTGGCATAAAAATAATGCAGACTAATTACCAAACTGAATCATTATACCATACTGCTGTAACCAGAGTACCAACAAGGGATGCAGTAAAGAGAAGGATTTAATGCTCATCATAAGGTCATCACGGATACACGTTTTAAAGTCACAAACACACCCTCAGTGCCGTAATAGTATGTGTCTGTGCTCATTTTCTGCAGAAAATCTTCGTGAATTGAAGCATGTGAACACCGGATCACTCCATTTTCTACGACTATCTCATCTGTAGCGCCAAATACTACAAGGATAAGGCGATCAAGAAGTCACACAACTACGATTTCAAAAGAGCTCTGATAGAATTGGTGACTGCTAAGAGTGAAATTCTGTTTTCAATAAGTGATTCGACATCAATGTAAAAATTTTGCAATCGTTAGGCGCACTTCCGTTGTGACGAAGGACTGCCTGAATCACGTTATTAATGTATGTGCAACAATCCATGGTTTGCTTTCTACTGTATACATCTAATCCATCATTCTGCCAAAGTCCTGCCAAGTTTCCCGTCAGAAATGCATTGAGCGTACTGGTGATGGCCAAAAAAATCTAAGGTTACGAATATTCTGACAGTAATTAGTTACTAGACAAAGACAGCTAACTATGATCGTTCGGCACATCGGGTTAGGTTTACACATTCATTTGGACCCAAAACATCCAAAACTGCAGTCGATATTCGTTCTGTTCTTATCAGACATATAAAAACTGTGGTGCGAATAGCGATTGCTTCTAACACTATTGGTAGACTAACCTCATCCGCCAGAAAACATAATCCTTGCAATGTGGCAAGGAATAAGAAAAGCAAGTCTGAGTAACTGATATCAGTTAGAACGTTGAACAATGAAGGCTTAAAGGGGGAAATGAAAACATAAAGTCAGACCGTACCATTTTTTCAACGTACTGGTACGTGAAAGCTGCCTACTAGATCAGAAGCAGTGAGCTAATATGTGCGCCACAGTGAAACTTGACGCGTAGCTTTCCACTTTGCGTACAGTACATTATTAGCCAGCAACCTGAAAGCAACCCACCTCCATTAAGAGCAAAACTAGATCTAAACAAAAACTTCAAAATGTTCTCTTGCTTTCTCACATCCTAGTGCTGGTGGATGTCCGAATATGAAGATAAGAACCAACAGGCCACGGGTAGGTAGAAAAATGGCTTGTCAACCGACGAAACTGGTACTTAACACTTTCGTGTTGTGAAATGGCATTCTAGGTATGCCAGAAAAAAACCTCTGATGAAACATGTCCCTGGTATCTGTCACTCAAAGTAGCTGTTAGCCAAAATGGAACCGACTGGCTTTAGAGAAACTGCCGCTCCTAAGCACACTCGTCCTGCCCATCCCGCACTCATTAGCCTACCACTCCTGCTTGATATAAATTTCAGGTAATGTTAATGAAGACACGCAACGCTGCGAGTCGACCTTAAGCCTTATTGGAGGCAACGAACTGGGGTGTTACGCATTTTTGTGCGTCAGTCACACTACAGCATTGTAACTCAAAGGAAATCAACAAGTGGGGGATAGGAGTGACCTCATAGTACTCATGGAAAAACGGCAACAGACAGACTGCGCAGGGATGAGCTACCTTGTGGCACTAACTATACACTCAGTAACTTCTTCCCTTCCGAAGACCGGACAAGTCAGGGTAGCTGACAAATAAGTTACCAAGCAAGGGCAACGCAGTAAAGGGATTTGCGACTAATTGATTTCCTTAACTTAATATGGTAGTAAACAGTAATTGCTGCTTGCCTTCATGTAACCTAAGATGCACTGTACCATAAAAGCTGAAGACTTTAACGTTCCATCAGTTGATGTCATCTTTCCGGCTTTTGACGGAAAAATGAACGGCACGGAGTGCACTGTCACCGTATAATAAAAGGGTGGCTGCGCGTATTAACCAGGCGGAAGCGTATCATATTCACCCCACATCTACTCCAGCATAGTCCTAGTTAAACTACTGAAACTGAACTAATGAGAGCCTCCGGACTTTAGCGGTACTCAGACATCGGCTCTAAAGTGATGCAGACCTTTATTCGATATGTTACCACACTTGAGAGACTCAAATAAATAGTCTATAGAATGGAGGGCAACAATCGCTTTTATCATTATCACTGGTGGAGGTGAGTAAAATTCAACGGATTACAGACTATTATATTATCCCCAATACCATCGAAACCATTGAGAAACTTGATTGACGACCAAATCGGGAAACACATTGGCGGAATAATGCACTCTTTCAAGCAGAAGTCGGTTTCAGGGGGGAGGGCAAGACCTTCGTAACAGACCCACTTTCTACTCAATGTGACTGAATATCATGCCAGCATATGAACCTTCC